CATGTTTGGTGGGATGGTGATGCGAACCCGCGACCCGCAGATTGCGAGTCGAGCGTCTTAACCACCTGGCCATGCCGGGCCCCCTTTCGTCGAGAAGAATGGTCTACTATTGATTCACAAATGTAGTCTGTGGATTACGCTCAGGAACACGATGTGACAAATCATTCCAAAGATGTCCAGTTATAATAATGACGATTGTGAGGCCAAACAGAACATGCTGAAGTGAATGTCATGCTTTTCAAACCAATTTCAAACAAAACTAATTATAAATTAAAATATTTACGGGTTGTTTAAGTCCTTTTTATTTCACATATAGTATTTATTTATTATTCGATATTATACAGCGGATCAATTGTTTAATGATCATATTACAGATTGCCTTTTTTTTCACCAAAAGTAAAATTGTAAATATAATCAGTATTTCTTTGGTTTCCTGACCCAAGTTGCGCTGATGAGCCTTGAATAGGCGAAACTGCAGTCCACAGCAAAGGTTGCAGCAAATAAAAGAATGCGTTACGTTACAGATTATACTTTCAATTTTACATTTGGTAAAAAGAAGAGAAATCTGTAATATAACCAATATATTTTCCTGTGTGGTAAGTAAAACAATAAATACTTCTGAATATAAAATTTCACACGAACTATTTTTTACTGTGGACGAGAAATTATATAAGAATTACATTTGAGTGGAAAGTAAAATTGTTTGTTTGTTTTTGAATTTCGCGCAAAGCTACACGAGGGCTATCTGCGCTAGCCGTCCCTAATTTAGCAGTGTAAGACTAGAGGGAAGGCAGCTAGTCATCACCACCCACCGCCAACTCTTGGGCTACTCTTTTACCAACGAATAGTGGGATTGACCGTCACATTATAACGCCCCCACGGCTGAAAGGGCGAGCATGTTTGGTGTGACGGGGATTCGGAAAGTAAAATAATAAATACTTCTGAATATAAAATCTCACACGAACTATTTTTTACTGTGGACGAGAAATTATATAAGAATTACATTTGAGTGGAAAGTAAAATGAGGAATACCGTAAGTGATCAAATAAACAGAAAGTATTTGTGAGTAAGTATTCGTTGTTAAGTAGAAATGCATTTTAAAGCCGCACCATATTTTAAACTAATTTCTTGACAGTATTATAGGACTAATGTTATTTTAAATCAACTAGCTACGTACAACGTTTATACGACTACAATTTAAACTACAAAACCGTGTTATGATTTTAATGTCCAATACTCTAGTAGAATTCCACAACGTTACTGTTTTAAGAGTTGAGTTTTTTTGTCTGAAAATTTTAAAACTTTTGGCTCAAACTTTTATGAGTACAAAGTACATAATTTGTACCCATGCTGAAAGAAAACACAAAATTTTGGCCATACGTTTTTAGTCGTACACACGTATAAGGTTTGACAACATTTTGGAGAAATGTCTGCATTGTATCACTTAGTTACTTTGTTTCTGATAATGAACACAAACTATCCGCAACAAATTAAGTTAGCATCACCATCAAAATTTATCTACAGGAAAAATTATTTTGTCAAGCATCAATATGAAAAGTTTACAATTACTATATAAGGCTCTAAGACGGATAAAACCTTTGAGTAACCTATTACTTGAAAGAGGACTTTTGGTAAGGACTAGCGAAATGACAAGAGTTCGAAACTATCATAGAGAATGTGTGCAGTAACTGTCATATGCATTTGTACACTTTTCAAAACTATAGTTTACATTCATTTTTGGCCAAAAATTAGAGGCTGTAATCTACATTATTTGGGAGATAACTTTAAAAGTGAACTTTTAATAGTACAGTTATGCGTGTATTCAATACCGGTTTTAAATATGAGTCGAAAAATAAAATAAAACGCTTATTTTGCTATTCAAACCTATAAGAAAAGGAATCACTGTCAGAAAAACGTTAATATTGTTATATCCACGTATTGTTTTGTAATTATAAATCGAAACAGTTGCTTACTTCATAAACAGTAACAGGACATAATTACACATCTAATTACTAGAAACTCTTCAGTGGTAAGTTCTATTCACGTATTGTTTTGTAATTATAAATAGAAACAGTTGCTTACTTCATAAATAGTAACAAGACATAATTATACATCTAATTACTAGAAACTCTTTAGTGGTAAGTTTGGGGGCTTTCAAGCTAAAAATCGGGTTTCGATACCTGTGGTGTGCACATCGCAGATAGCCAATTGTGTAGCATTGCGTTTAAAATTAAACACTACCGGACACTATTAAATGTTGGTTGAATGGGCTTGAGCCACTGATACGATTTCATTATGATTCTTTTATTTTTAATGCATTGTTCTAAATCACCACCACCACCACCACTCTTGTTTCAATTGGTGCACTTGCAATGAACGCCCAGCAAATTGTCAATATCATTCATAGATTTTGTAAGTTTCATCAGAATTAAACTGAGAAAAATAAATGCAATATATATAAATAAAAAGGCAGTAAAAACGAGCAGAAGCACTTACTTTACAAAACACTTATAACTCTAAAAACCGGGGTTGGAAAAGCAGATAGCCCGCTGTGTAGCTTTGCGCTTAACCATAAGCAAACAAAAACTTTACAAAATGAAAATAAAACACTCAAAAATATATTAGTCAAACACTTAGTGTTTCTCTGGTTATCATGATGTTAATGAAGGTTGTGAAGATGGATTGTCTGTCAGCTTCCAACAGATTGACAAGTTTAGTAGCTCTGGTTATGATGATGTTAATGAAGGTTGTGAACATGGATTGTCTGTCAGCTTCCAACATATTGTCAAGTTTAGTAGCTCTGGTGATGATGATATTAATGAAGGTTGTGAAGATGGATTGTCTGTCAGCTTCCAACAGATTGACAAGTTTAGTAGCTCTGGTTATGATGATGTTAATGAAGGTTGTGAAGATGGATTGTCTGTCAGCTTCCAACAGATTGACAAGTTTAGTAGCTCTGGTTATCATGATGTTAATGAAGGTTGTGAAGATGGATTGTCTGTCAGCTTTCAACAGATTGACAAGTTTAGTAGCTCTGGTTATGATGATGAGGGTTGTGAAGATGGATTGTCTGTCAGTTTCCAACAGTGTTTCTAAGGTGTTTCGGACTAAAGAAAAATTGATCGTTTTGCTGCTATTGTGAGTTTAAATCTTGGTAAGAAGAAGGATCATCGAAGAAAAGCATCCAGAGGAAATGATATTGTCATGCAAAGAATTTTGTTTTCTAGCCGATTGTAAGCACCCTAAGATATAAATGTAGAATTACAGGATACACATGGGACTAGGATCAACGATAGAGCTACATGGGAAATCTGCAGCCAAACACATTTAATATTTCATGTGTGTAAATACGGTAAAATGTTTAAACGTTGTTAAAAATTAATAAAATTGAAAGAATGAATGGAACTGCATACTATGGACTAACAAAACAAAGACTGAGTTTTTTGGAAATTCCAGTAGATGTAGTAATAAAAAGTTTAAACAAGGATGTGTAAATAAAACAATGAAACACGGTGTGGGGATATATTTCTATTGCAGGGATGGGGGATATTGTCAAACTGATGCTGTGATGAAGAAGGAAGAGTACTTCAAATCCAGATTCGTCACGCAATAACCAGGGGGTTTTCTTAACTGATGCCAGTTGAATTATGCTTCTTCTAGTATCGACATTCAAAAAAATAAGAACTTTAAAAAAAGAAAGAATTGCATTAAAAACACACACACCAGAACTTGACGTAAATGCTTAAGCTTCTTATAACTTGAGGTATATAAACCTACCTTGATTCAGAGCTGCTTACCACACGAACTTTCTATTCACTTCACAGTCATAATGTCGTTTCCCTGAAAAAACAAAACAATAAATAAGTAACCATAACGTATAATTCCATCTGCATTACAAAACTTGAAATGTTTAATTAAAACAATTCTACGTCATGTATATGAGTTTGTGTTTACCTAAACTTTGATTAACATATGTGTACAAAACAAAAATGTTCAATCATTTATACTTCACGTTTGATAATCGGTTGAACAATTATACAAAGGTTGGAAGAACAAAACTGTTATGTTATTTAATGTAATATTATGAAGGAAAGAAACCATGTTAATCTCTTCATTATCATCGGTAATTCCATTGAATATAAAGAGAAGATTAAAGACCTTTAGACAAAAACAATCGAACTTTTTTTATTGTAGTCAACTTTGCACTAGCCGTTCTTTTGGCAAAATTAAAAAGTCACCTATAACTTCAAAATATTTTTAAAAACTTTAGTTAGTAAATTAATGCTTTATGCTAGTAAAGATGTTTCTGTAACAACGTTACTCATAAAATTATAACTGTTTAATAATAAATTCTTACAAGCTATATGTATTTTTACTTGGCAACATAGTTGCAAAATTCCTTCTACAAAATACAGTGAATTCCTATGGGTGGTAACTTCAGCCAATAAATTGCAGATTTATATTCATTCAAACTTGATGTTGTTTTTTCCATAAAAGACTTCATAACACAGACTATAATAAAGCTTTGCAACTCAGTTGGACTTGTAGATATATATTCTATTACCTAGTTATCAATGTTTCCTTGATATTGTAAAACACATTCACCCACCAGAACTCACCATGAAAAAAAGGTATTCCACTACAAGCATCGTTAATCACATTACCCGGAATTAGATTTAAGCATCGTTAATCACATTACCCGGAATTAGATTTAAGCATCGTTAATCACATTACCCGGAATTAGATTTAAGCATCGTTAATTACATTACCCGGAATTAGATTTAAACATCGTTAATTACATTACCCGGAATTAGATTTAAGCATCGTTAATTACATTACCCGGAATTAGCTTTAAGCATCGTTAATCACATTACCCGGAATTAGATTTAAGCATCGTTAATCACATTACCTGGAATTAGATTTAAGCATCGTTAATCACATTACCCGGAATTAGATTTAAGCATCGTTAATCACATTACTCGGAATTAGATTTAAGCATCGTTAATCACGCGTTCAAGTTTAAAATGTTTAATAAAATATACATTTTTAATATTGAAGGCATAAACTTTCCATTTCCGAATACAAATATTCCAAATAAGCTATTCTACAATGTTTATTACCCACAGTTACTAGATACAATATAATTTGTAAAATGTCTTGGAAATAATTCATAACATTTTTCATAAACAAGGTTTCTCCTATTGCATTTTAACATCAGATGTGTTTACTTTCTAGTCAAATTCAACAGTCTTGTTACTACTGAATATGGGATTAATATTGTCACAGAATAGCTCGACCTTTTCAAAACTTTCAGGCCTAAGCTTTAATTTGTTAACAAACTATTAAGGTAATAACTAACCTCTTTATTATGGTGACCACCATTTCTTTTAACTCCCATTAGTTTAAACTCTCCTTTAGTGAATACAAGCTGTATCATTGTTTCTTATATGGAACAGCATTACGTCATGTTTAATTACATTAATTCCTGTTAAATGCTTTGTCATATTTTCCATTACTGTTACTTATTTATTTAAGTCTTATTGTTGTCATGATCTTCCTCATATTTTATTATCGCTCATACATTCCGATTAGTTCTTAAGCGCGCCAATCCAGTGGCATGTCTGCGGACTTACAACGCTAGAAACCGAGTTTCGATACCCGTGGTGAGCAGAGCACAGATAGTTCATTATGTAGCTTTGAGCTTAATTACAAACAAACAATCAGTTCTTAGGGTTTAATTTTATTTATTACTTGTTGCTGCCGCTCTATAAACTAACAATGTATATAGGGGGATAATTAAAGTTAGACTGAGTGTGTCAGACACAACTCATAGTATGTTTAGTAAATAATTTTTCTTTTATATGACATTTCACTTTATCATTTGAATTAGAGTATTAATAGCTTTACTGTGAGATTTTGTTATTTAATTTGTTATAAATACTATATTAAATTATATATATATATATTCATTGTTGGGTGGTTTTTAGTTTTGATCTACGCAGGAACTTGCTTTGATCAGAAGTTGTTAATAATACCTTTATGATGCTTAAAAGAGATTGTGAGAACAGAACTGATGTGTTTAAGCATGTACAAAACTTAACAGAGGTTGTAAGAACAAAGATGTCGTGTTTAAACATCGGTTTATAAAATTGAACAAAGATTTTGAGAAGAGAACCAACATGTTAAAAATTTAACAGGGGTTTTAAGAATATAATTGATATGTTTAAACTTGGGTTTACAAAACTTGACAGAAGTTGTAAGAACAGAACTGTCGTGTTTAAACAGGAGTTTAAAACTTAACAGAGTCGACATGTTTAAACTTGGGTTTACAAAACTTGACAGAAGTTGTAAGAACAGAACTGTCGTGTTTAAACAGGAGTTTAAAAACTTAACAGAGTCGACATGTTTAAACATGGGTTTACAAAACTTAACAAAGGAAGTAACTTGCAAGAAAAGGATTATAATGTCACATGGATTTACCAGTTTAATGGATCGTTGAAAAGCACACAGATCCAAGATGCTTAATGTAAAATCAGAACATTCAGTTAAAGTTCCTGACTACTTATTGTTCAATAAGTCATTCTGAAATTATGCCATTGTTATTTAAGCTCCAGTTTTCAATTAGTATTTAAGGTAACATAAACTACCTGAACTCTCAGTTCTGAACTCGGTTTCTTTCAGAGAAATGCAAAATGTCTTGTGTACAGTTACTTCCCTACGTTTTATTTTAGACTGATATTTTGAAGAACCAATCTTATCTTAATCTGTATATATTTTATATAAGCTGAGAAATAATAATTGGGAGAGAAAAAGCCATTTATGGGAACATTTTGGCGTAATTCTCCCAACAAACAGCTTGTTAATATCCAATTGAAACAGACTGCGATTACAAAATCATTCATTTTTGAAGTTGTAAATCTAAAAATGTGAGATACGAATCAAAGAAGCTGCTTATTAATTAATGATGTTTCGAAGAAATTGTAAAGCTCGACGTGTAAGTTGACTACTGAACATAAGATGCTATTGAACTACGGGACTTAAACTAGTAATGTTGTTAGTTATGCGAAAATATACATGTACATGTGCACGTGATCAAAATCCTAGGTACAAATGAAAATGGAAATGTGCTTGCCAAGCCATGTATTGGTATATGATCCATTTAGTCAGCTCTTTATTGATATATTACGTATTTAGTCAAATCATGTATTATTATATCATTTATTTAGTCAAATCATGAAGGGAAACAGCTAAGTATGCTATGAAAAAACCCGTGTCGACATGTATTTCTACTCCTTTCTATTATCCCATTATTCTTAGGTCATTTAAATTACTCAAGAGAAAATCGAAACTGAGCAACGTTTAAATATTACTATTTATTTCAGAGCAATAGTTGTTGCATATTCAGAATATTGATAATCTTAATATATTTTTTGTCTATTCAAACAATGAACCATTTATGCAACAAACTACAAGTTTCCGTGGTGTTTGTAGGACTGTACTTTCCAAAAGCTATTGTTTTCCTTAGAAAACAATAAAGCATATACAAGTTTTCTTTTCGGAATTGTCAATTGCCTTTTCAGACTTTTTGGGCGTTTTCAAACTTTTCCATTTGCTGGAGCTTAAATTCAATAACTTTCAATGACAACACATAATTTATTTTTGTATGGTTGCTCATTATATCATTGGAGTAACATTATACACAGAGGCTTATCAACACTGAAAACCCTCCTCAAAAACACACATTAATTCCGTCAGAGCAACAACATGGGGACACGTTCCCTCTAGAGTCTAGACCAAGCAGCAGATGTTCGAACTCGAAAAGAATCTCAGCCACGATAAGCCAAACGATTTAGTTCAACAATCCTCAAAATTGATCTGATTTCAGTGACCCGTTAACTCCAAGTTCTCCGCTCTTGTTTGGCTGATATATATATATCACTGTTTGATCAGTTTTTCTGTCATTAATGTTCTTTTTATCTTTGCTTACCCTTATACATTCATTTGTTGATTTTGTTTATAATTACTTTATTTATAAAAATTGCGTCTGTTCTATATCGTATCTCTGGTTACTGTCTATTTATAAATAAATTTTTCATGTCACATGTCTAACGATACTGGGTAATTTGTTTTCTTTTCACGGATTTACTCGTTAACAATGTGCAAAAACTCGAGTGATATATGATAAGTGCTTTACTTATAATTCTAAACATAATAATACAAATAGATGTTAACTTGTTTAACAGTGTCACTAAACGCATAATTACATATAGTACGTTGTTAGTTATAACTCCGATTCATTTATTAATCACACGTTTAACAACACAGGTAAAATAACGAGCTATAATCCATATCTGGATTCACTCTTCTAATACACGTTTAACAACACAAGTAAAACAACGAGCTATAATCCATATCTAGATTCATTCTTCTAATACATGTTTAACAACACAAGTTAAACAACGAGCTATAATCCATATCTAGATTCATTCTTCTAATACATGTTTAACAACACAAGTAAAACAACGAGCTATAATCCATATCTAGATTCATTCTTCTAATACATGTTTAACAACACAAGTAAAACAACGAGCTATAATCCATATCTAGATTCATTCTTCTAATACATGTTTAACAACACAAGTAAAACAACGAGCTATAATCCATATCTAGATTCATTCTTCTAATGCATGTTTAACAACACAAGTAAAACAACGAGCTATAATCCATATCTGGATTCACTCTTCTAATACACGTTTAACAACACAAGTAAAACAACGAGCTATAATCCATATCTAGATTCATTCTTCTAATGCATGTTTAACAACACAAGTAAAACAACG